GTTTGTAATGGGAACATTCACTTTTAATAACCTTATCTATGTCTTTACCTACACCAGAACACATTCCCCTAATCCTGGGCTCTGACTAAGGGATGCGCCACCTGAGCCTTATCCAATTCTGTTCCCTCAGTGCTGGGAAAGGCTCAATCATAGAACAATAACTGATTTTACCACGAAGCCATCTATAAATCTTCTCCCTAATCAATACCGTTGAGGCGCTCACTCTCTTTCTGGTGGGCAGAGGCAATTGGCCGAAGTTGCCCTCAGAACTTGTTAGAGCCTTCATAAATAAACAAGAACTTTTACCCCCCCACACAGGGGGCCCAACGGCTTATATCTTACTAATATAACCAATCCAAAATCAAGGAATTGATCAGGAAACAAAGAACAAATAACGTTCGTCTATTGTATTGTTCACCATGGGGCTATTCCCACACTGTTTCATTACTTTATTTCTTTGTCATCGCTTTTCTTTCCCGACTTTATATATCTATTTCTTCATATCCAGTCAACCTGCTAGCGATCCTCATCATTCAATGTCATGAAATTTACTTCATGCCATGGTAAACTTTGTTGGTTCTGGCTGAAATTCACTGCTAATCGCCCAGCCCCAAGAAGACTCTTTAGTTTTAGTCTCAGCGACACTGCGATGCGTTGACACATTTTACAGTGTTTTCTGAGCACCCATCTAGACCAACAACTGCAGGCAATATTAATATTTGAGGCGGTTCTCCTTCTAGTCTAAAACTTACCTTTACTCCAGGATCCATTTTTCCAACTAACCAATGGTCTTAAGACCTGGTTCTGTCCATCGTAGATCCACATGCTGCTGTGTGTGTATATATATAGACACTCACACACACACACACACACACACACACACACACACACAACCACACACACACACACAGCTATGGCCTCTCGTGATCTCAGAATTCTCAGACATACAGTCAGCTTCAGTAAAGTCAAACAATTAAATCACATGACACGGATGTTTTGATAGATTATTTTTCTCGACTTTTTATATTTTTTAAAACAAACAAAAATAACAGATTAAATAAATTTACAGTAACAATGCAATCATTGTGCACTTTAAACTACTTCTTCTGATACGTTCTGCACAGGCCTGTCAACGAAAAACCGCAAACACAATGGTGGGCTGCGGGGTGGAGCGGCCAGGGGGGGCAATTGGTGGGAGATTGACGACAGCCGGGACCCGAAGACAGTCGGCCGCCCGGTAAGGGCAGTTAAGGGAAACCAATCGGTGCGGGAAGAGAAGATGAAGAGGAAAGGAGTAAAGGATAACAGAACCTGAAACTTTTCACTCAGGGGAAAGAAAGAAAAATCACGAGTATATAGTTTCTTTTTATTCCGTGACATCACTTATGTAAATAGTATTGAAATCCCAAAAACAAAGAGAAAAAAGACCTTGAAAAAAAAAAGAAACGCGCAATTACAGAAACGCCACAACAGCCAGGTAAGGCAACAGAAAAGGCAAGAGAGGAGAGAGCAGAAGAGTGACATGAGAGGCAGAGAAGCAGAGGTAAGATAGGAGGCAGTATGAACATGGCAAGAAAAAGAGAGAGAGCGTGAAAGTAGGAGAGGTGCGCAATGTGCGTATGAAAATTTATAAATATGGTGGATTAAGAGACGACCTGCGGTGACGGGGAGTTGGAGGAAGGAGAGAAAGCGTGGCAGGAAAAGGAAAATATGAGATAAAGGTTTCAGGAGAGCTGCAGGGAGGATAGTAGGAAGAGGAGGAAAGTTGACTGAGGTCGATCTGCTCAGTGTGTTTTTGGTTTTTATGTGCTACGTGACCTGTTGCCTGGTTTGTGTGTGTTTGTGCTCCTGGTACTGTGTGTTGTGTGTGTGTGTGTGTGTGTGTGTGTGGTTGTGTGTGGTGTGTGTGGTCATTCAGTTGTTCTGTTGAATGGCAGCACACATTCCACTGGCAACAGGTGAAACATCATGCTCACGGTCTTGTGTGCTCTCTGCTATATAAATTTACAAAACAAAACAATGAATTTAAAACAAAAACAAAATCTATTTGCAACCAAACACCAGCCACCTCAATGATTCACACCTCTTCCTTTTCACAATTGACACTATCATTTAATCAGTTTTTTGTATTTGTTTTTATTTTTTTTTTTTAAATTGTACACTAAGGCAGTCCCACTCCAGTCCTCCATCCTTTTCCACCACCCTCCACCAAGAGTCTTTACTTTCTGGTCTTCTTTCACTTTCTTTCCTCCCCCCTCTTTCCTTTCACTGAGAACTGGCTCTCTCAAAATACGCAGTGTCATAGTTCTTTTTTGGCGGCCCTCAGTTTTGAAGAGGCTTGGCCTCCCCGCTGTTGTTAGTTTGAAGAGAAGCCTTTGGGCAGCCATTTGGTGCTGGGGAACACTGCCACATTACTGTGTATGAGGTGAGCAGGTTCGCTGCAAGTCACCTTTTGCTTCCCTGCGATGGCTCCGGGCCCAGCGGGGTGCTCCTGGCCCAGGAAGCCTTGCACCAGACAGGGGCCACAGCTCACCTTGCCCTCCTCGGGCCTCCCTGCTTCCTTCAGTCCACTGGATTTCTGGCACCGCAGTCATTCGACAGCTGGTTAAAGAGCTTTTCGAGTCCTATCTGGACTGAGATGGCGCCGTCTGGCAGGATCCGGTGTACCTCGATCGGTACGCGACTCACGCATACTGGGACCGAAGAAGATGCGGGAACACATTAAAATGTTTGCCAGGCATTGAAACCATCCTCTGGCAGAACACATACTTGGTGAGCCAGAATAGATCTCTCAGCTTAAGAGACTTTTTTGCCCAATGTGCGGTGCCCTTGAGATATGGTGTTGCCATTAGCCTGAGCCCAGCCCGAGGAATTCGAGGGTAGTGTAATGGACAATCCCAATTGGATATTGCAACCGCCTGATAGCAACAGTGCAACCGCTAGCAAATGCAAAAGAGGAATAGAGAGAGATTCTGAGACACTATTACTGGCTAAGTATTTTTTGCTCAATGTAACTGTTTACACGCAGTTCAGAGTAATAATAATGATTATGTTAGCTGTTCAGTTGTCTTGGTTTATGTTTTTTTACATAACCGTCTCCAAAATACCTTTTTTCATATTTGTACCTCATTTGTACCTTGTTAGTAGCTAGTACTTAAATCTACTCTGACGACCGGTTGGAACACTGGGAATATTGATTTTAAGAGTGGAAAAAATAGGTAGGTCTACCAGGCCTGGACAGACACAGGTCTATGATCCTGCAAGACACAGGAACAAGGAGAGGCATAAACTGAAGCAGTGGGTGAGAGAAGATATGGGTCTAGGGTTCTTGGTCTAGTCGTGCTGATATCACTTCGGACCAGAGACAAGGAGACAAGAAACAAAAAAAATATATAATATATACATATAAAATCACTGTGACACATGATTCCTACTGATCACGTTATACGTAATTCTTCAGCCACGAGGGGGCCAAGACAGGCTAATGAGACCGTGAATACATGTACATGAATCGACCTGGATGTGCCAGTTACTGACACTCGACAGTCATTTAACATTGTACAAATAAATTCTTACCCACTGATCCACAAAGACCCTTATCGTACTACTGTGTGTACCTGTGGAGTGTTGTCGGGTTTTTAGAGTTCTCGCTGGTTTGCCGGGCCCTGCTCTATGCTGTAGTTACTTGCAATGGGTTCGCACGGACCCAGCAGGAGGGTCTCTGCGAAGGCCTGGGGTCCATTCCTGGGGGACGCTAAGCTGCATGACCATCACGCCAGGCCCCAGGAGGTGTACTCCTGGAAGAAGCATTCAACGAGAGCAGAGAGGCACACATGTACGCATTAACACCGATCGATTTATGACATTTACTTAGTGACTTAAAAGTAACTGACAGTTCTGGTTGATGCAGTTACACGCCTGACCCCCCTTTCAAGCATTGCACAAAGTGTAAAGGTAAAAATATGTTTGTGATTCCATCACAAAGTTAGAAATATGAGGAAACATTCAGACTAATGGATCCCACTAATAGTTACTGTTGGGATGAATTGAGGAGATATAGCTATAGATGATTTTTGTAGGAAAGTACTAGAATTAGCTTGGCTTCTCTGTGACTAAAGTATGGATATGTAAGTGTAAAAGCGGTTGGTTTTGTCAACAACAACAGATAAGTATTTAAGAAAGTATAGTAGAGAAGGCACAGGAAGTAACTAAACTAACTAAACTGACAAATTCAAACAAAAAAGACTTAGATATTTGAGAAATGTACCCCCTTTTAATGACCTGCAGACAACCTGTAATGCACACTACCATGATGCCTTGTTTCCTGGTTCATGATTACCATCTGGTTTGCCTGCCAGTGTAACAGCTTAAGGCTATCAAATACCAGAAGATAAACTACATTCATTATTCCAAACATGTAAAAGAAGCTGCTGACAACATCTTGTAAAATTCAAGAAGAGCCTAAGTTTAGAGCTATTGTTGAATTTAGACTCTCAGGGTGGGGGACAGTTTGAAATTAGAGCCTGAAATATAACTTTTAGAACACATTAGGAACATAAATGGGTTTAATCCTTTTAAACACACACCTGAGTAAATAGCACAAACAGAGCAGAGGTTGAAAGGATAAAGTGATCATCATTACGATCAACATTTACTTAAGGCCAAACAGGAGCACAAGGTGTTTGTGGAGTTTAGGTTTTCTGTGATTTCTTCAAACATTCCCTTTTTAAAGGACATCGATTTTAACATGTGAACCCTGTGTACCTCTGTCTGACCTTTTCCCTGAATACCTTTCCTCTGATTTCGTAAAGGAGAGTTGCAAACTGGATTTCACTGAATTTCAAAATATACCAGGCATTCATTTTGGGAGAATAATGACCACAATTAAGATGTGAATTGAAACAAAATTAAACCTTAAAAAAGCTAAAATAACATACATCTATTGGTCTCAAAATATTTTACAAATTACCACATTACAGCCTCTTTAAACAAAGTCTCACCTGAATATTGCTGCTGTAACTGTTGAGGGTTGCAAGGGGACGGCGACTGTGTGATCTGATACTGCTCGGAGCTGGGGGCCTGCAGGTAACCTACTGATGGGCTGCAGGATCGACACGCACAAAGGGGGAGAAAAAGAAAGATATGGTGAAGGGTAATTCACACACATACAGGACGATACCTACACAGCACTTGAGGAAATGCAACCATGAAACTGCACTGGGGCTGATATTATTATGATTGTGACTGAGGTTTATGTTTAATGCACAACCCATTTTTCTCAGTTATGGCAATCGTTTAAAATGTTTCAACCCAATTGCCAATTAATCTGTACGAATATGATGTATTCTTACATACATACCTTGTGCTATTCTGCTGTGTGGGTGTGATAACACTGTAGTATACAGGCATGGGTCCCTGGACAGACTGGCTGACGGGTACCATCACCTGCTGCTGGTACTGCTGCTGCACCACCTGCTGATTTTCATTCCCCACTGGTACCTGAAAAGGTGTAAAAGGTCAGGAAAAATACACCAACTGGAGAAAAGAAGACAAAGACTAACAGAGAAGGATTAACTTGACTCCTGTCATTTTTATGTTTCAGTTGGTCAAACACTTGTTGTGAACTGTATCTGTGTGTCCATTTTTTTAATCTGGTTCTGTTCATGAGCATTTGAAATAGTATCCAGTATCCGGTTTTGGTCCCTCCAGATATTACAACTGTTTAAATACTAGAGACCATAAAATCCCTCCCTCTGGTACTGCTAAGCACATAGCTACAGAGCGGTTTATTCATTGGCTCGGCCTTCTTCGCTTTCCCTTAATTTATAACTGTGCTCGAGGATTACACCAGTGTTTTGCATGACATTATCCATTTAATGTATTTGGATAAAAAATAAACTCTCAATACTTAGAGATACTGTAGCTGCCACTTCTTATTATGCTGTGGTGCGTTCATGTGCTGTGGGAATATCCGGACTGTAATCACCTGGCAGATGTTGCTGAGGGGCAGCAGTTTAAATGGCCAATAAAATTCACATCCATCGAAATGTAACATGATGGGTCAGGGTTCAGATGTAAACAGCCTCACATAGCATATAGACATGCCACACATAAAACTATACAGGCAAAGGACAACAGCTGACGCCATCACAAGTAAGGGGGGTCTCACCTCTGGTCTGGACCCCCATCAGTGTTTGACAGTGAAAATAGTGCTGCTTAAACATACTCCTGCATTGCTTTCACACCATTTACTTGTGTTTTTGTTGAGCTTGTTGCAATTGTATGACTCTGGTGTAAGGATGGTGTAAGGATGTACATTATTATTGATAATGTATTCATCATTCACCTTCATGCTGATCAAGATTAATGATTAGACCGCAAAAATTATGGGGGTTGTTTAACTTTTTCTGACTTTTCAACATAAAACGTTGTAAGTGTGCACCAGATGGAGCGGTTTACATGTAAAGATTAGCCACATGTATATAGACCCTGGTTGTGCCAACGTTTTCAGCTCACCAGGCAAAACTTGTTTACTTAACAATGAAATTTATTTTTGTATCCTTTATGAATTGTGTTCTATAAAGGTCAATAAAATTGTCCATACCTGATATGATGGCATCTGTGGGTACTGAACCATTATGCTTTGCATTTGTCCTCCCATGCCTGCCCTCTGGGAATTGAGCAAACCAGGGTTTTGGGGCTGCTGCACACCCATCATACTCTGGTAACTCGGCTGCTGGCTGGGCATCATGGTCTGGAGACCTGATCACAACAGACAACAATCGGAGCAGTGAAATTAGAGTAGGGTGTTAAAGGAAGAGTATAGTGTACAGTGTAAGAGAGGAAGAAAGGAGAAAAAGGATAGTTGGGTCTTTGCCTTTAAGGGGACAATCACTATACAACAGGAGAGAGTACAGTATACAGATTGTGATCCAAACTGAGGCAACTTGGATGATGGCACACAAAAACAACAAATTTCTTTGGACTGCTTTTATGCTTCTTTAGGTTTATATACTGTATACCTTGTTTTTATTAAAAAAAGATAATGTAGTAATTTATCTGCACTTAATCAATGGTAATTGAAAAAAGTATTTGGAGAGGTACTTTAAAAACAAACAGACTAACAGCTAACAATTATAACTGGCGTATATACAATAGTGTCTCAGTTCACATGTTTGACATTTCTTAAAGTAAAAATCTCTCAACAACACTCATTTCAAACCAGGCAGCAGCCATAGATTGATGCAAGGTCTTGCTGACCGTGATGTTCATGATCCATGTGGATCTGGCAGACCTCCAATATGAGCCAGTCCATGAGTCCATTCAGGTTGTCAACAATGTCATGTACTCTATAAACACAGCCAACCTCCACAGATCCCAAATGAAAGGGGTTTGAGGGATAAAGCTGTCAAGGTTTTCCATGAAAAAAAGGGAGCTCTATTTTGGTCTGAGCGTATTTGACTTGGCAGAACAATGTTGAGACAAGGTTTAAAAATCAACCTTTCACCTGGTAAACTTGAAACCAAATATGGTATATTTTTTTTTTTTTTACATTATATGGAGATATCTCAATATATGAATTTAACAGAAGAAGAAGAAGAAGAAGAAGAAGAAGATATACTTTATTGATCCCCTACGGGGAAATTGTTTTTCACTTCTGTTTTTATACCCCCACAACAGGCTGAAATTCACCACTTCATGCACATTGGAACATGCAAAGGGGGAGATGGTGGAGTGACCGGGCTGCCCGCGTTACCAGCGGCCTCATGAGCAGTTTCGGGGTAGGTTTGCCTTAATCAAGGGCCAACCTCGGCAGTGCACAAGTGAGGTGAACCCCTGGCCAACCTTCTTCCAGCCTAACCAGTCCACACTCCCATATTTTTGTAGTCTGTGGGACTTGAACCGGCGACCCTCCGGTTCCCAAGCCAAGTCCCTACAGACTGAGCTACTGCCGCCCCAAACTACTGGTTTTATATTATATTTATATGTCTTTATGTAATTATCTATATCTATCAATTTATCTATAAAGAACTGAGGTAGAGTCTGATAGTACAGCACAGTACAGCATAACAAGAAGTACCGACCTGACTGCTGTGTGGGCTGAGGCATGGGTTGTGTGCGCTGGGCAGGATAAGACACCTGGTGGGACATGGGCTGGGGCACACGGTACTGCTGGCCTGAGCTGGGGTACTGACCAGGAGGGTAGTAAGACACCTGTATCTGAAGAGAAAAACACCAAAAACACACCAAAAAAACAATTTAGAGAACAATAAACACACAAAGATGAGAGTAACTGTGAAACAGTGAGAGTCACAGTGACTTTTATTAGTAGTCTTTAACCTTGTTCACATGTGGAACAGAGATGATGCTCAGGAACCAGCTCCTATATTCTCATGGCATTGAGAACATTACTTTTTTATGTTTTCTTACGTATCTATGTTGTATATTATGTTGTGCATTACTTGCCACCACTTCTTCCAGACTCTAAATGAAGACCCCGAGCACAAAGCTCTGCCTAAAACACATTAAACCTTAAAATTCTCACTTTTTGGATGCTTGGGGCTAGCAGAAAACAATCATTACCTTTTACCTTTTATTGTTAACATAAAAACTCAGTTCTGTGCTTTCTTGTTAACACGTCCAACAGTTACAGAGATGTAAGTGTCGGACGTTGAAGCTTTAACAGCTTGCAGCTTATACAACTGGGATAAATGTATAAATACAGAATTTCCAAACGAGACATCAAATGGACAGAGAGGACGTTGAATGTGAGAAGGATCGATAGTTCCTGCCTCCACCTTCATCTGCATACATGACAACATTCAGCCTATCCAGAGGCTGCAGTGGTGTCAATATTTGCACTCCTGTTCCACTTTCGACAACCCACACATCGAATAACACAGTACACATCTTCCTTTCCCAGCCAATGCTGTTCACACAAGTATGGAGATCTAAGAATGAGGATAATACAAGATGGTGTGTAGGGTGATAAAAGGCATGAAAATAGGCTTTCTACCTAGGTCAGAGATTGGAACTACAAAATAAAAGCACAGGGAATGAAAGCTATAAAAAGACAGAAAACAGGACAAGATGGATCAGTTCAAAAATATATATAAAAAGGTTTTTGCAGTGCAGTAACATGGCAAGATTAAGTGTCAGACTGCAAATAGAACAGGGATAGTATACTTTATTACTGTTTGTATGCTCTAATTGACAAGCTGCTTTAATGGGATACTACTGACCCCAGATTCCCTTCATAAGAACACAACACTATTGCCAATTTTAAAAAAAATAATTAGTAATTTCAGCTATTAAAAACTCCACTAAACAGACTATCGTCCTTCACAACTTAGCCCTAGGGCAACATTACAGATCCTAATGTCTCCCACAGGGTGTTTAATGGCCAGGTCAATTTAGTTCTCTCTCCTCAAATGAATTCTAATAACTACTTTATGGATTCAAGTAAAAGCCTGAGGGAGGGAAAGAAGACTGTGAGTGACAGAGAGTGAGAGAACTAATTATTGTCACCGCCTCTGCAATCGGAAAAATGTGACAGGCTAGCTGACTGACTGAGACCGAGCTTGTGAAGGTGACGCACAGCGCTATGAGCGCGAGGACCAAACTCCCCACTGGGTGAATCCTGCTACTTTACAGGAATCACATCACCGATATGTCGCACCTAACTCTGCAATTTGTGGCATTTATCCATCACTGGGTAGTTATTCTGGTTACATGTTATCTTATGTTGCACAGCAGGTCAGATGAACATACAAAAAACGTTAAATGAGTCTACAGGCATGCATTGCAGTTTAACATATTTGAAAGGTTTCCAAAAATAAACAAATAATGTAATTAGTGACAAATTAAATAAATAAATTCTTTCCAGGAAACTTATTAAATTACTAGACATGTATTCAGAAATTACAGACCATTAAAATAAAGCATTAACGTGTTTACAGAGGACAGAAAGCTTCTAGAGAGCTTCTATCTTTGTCATTAATTGACATGTGGTACACAGCACAGGTTGTGATTACACATTTACTGGTGATTTTGTCGCCAGAGGCCTGTGCCACAGCTGAAAACATATTAAATACAAACAATGTATTTACTGTGAGGAGAGCTAACCTGAGCCATTGTCAACTAAACCAGTTATTACTTCCTTCTACCAGGAAAACGATTACTCACAGAGAAACTGACGACGTTTAACTATGTTGGCGGCTGTTTATTTTATTTTATGACACAATCCGCACCAGAAAACGTAGTTCTGTGGTTTAGGATTACACACTAGTTACTTGCCTGTAGATCTTTACTGCAGAGAGAGAATTGTGCTGTTGCGTAACCTTTGTTTAACCAACTTTGGAGTTTCCCTGGTTATGCCTTGCTAAGAGATGGATCAGAAATGACTCTTATTGCCTTCTTCCATTATAGGAACTTAACAGCAACAACAAGACAGTCATAATATTCACTTGGTGTTCAAAGAAAGCAATCAAGTCTCCTCTCTCCATCTGTATGTTAACAAGGTGCAGCGATGATCACACTGTGTACCCTTCTCTGTCATCAACAAATCTTTACATTAACACTCATTAATATGAGGTGTGAGGTATGAGGAACATGCTCTTCCACAGTGGCAAATATCAGAGGGAAGAGATTATGTTAGTGTGTTTGATAGGAATAAAAATTTCAAGAAATTAACTTTTATACCGGAATTCTTCCACTACACAAAGCAGTTCTTCCCATGAAAAAATAACATCACTCAAGTCCTCTGTTGCCAGATATTATAAGCATTATCTCATCAGTTCTTTGTGGATTTTTTTGAATTTGGCTAAATTAAAGTATACAATATAATTTCAGTTAGTTTATTCTAAAGTCTTGGCCTAGTTTCAGTTTGTAGTTTAGTTTTAGTTAACTATAATAAGCTTCCTTGCACATAACCCCCCGTAATTGAGGAATACTAGTTAAAATCAAACATAATGAGATAATGCTGTGATCGTCACTGCAGTGATAATTCTGTCCATGTGGTCCACCCCTACACACAATAACTGCACTGTAAAATTGATAAAATATCAGTACTGTGCATTAACAATCATCCCCACACATTTATGTACCGACAACTACAGCGTGATTGACATGGCGTTCCTGCAATAAGTGCTCAAATGTGCCCTCTGAGAGCATTCAAGAAGTCAGGATTGTTCTTCAAATTGTCTCTGAACAGGTTTGAAGAGATCCACAAGCATCAGCATTGATACTATTTAAAATGGATGATTCTCCAAATTTCCCTTGACACAAATTTGGATTTCTTCAATAATTTAAGCAATTCCTTGTCAGTAAATCAGACTCCACCAATCATTTTAACTGCTAACATTTTAACTCGAGACTTTTAAATGAGAGTATCATCTCTTTTCCAGGATTCTCAGACCTGTGTGAACTTTTAATACTCTTAGGCTTATCAAACATTTGTTTTGTCTTGCTAAACAAGGGAAACCCCCTACATGTGTGGAATATTAAATTACCACTTCCAAAAAAAACAGAATATATGACGTTTTATCTTCTGTGTCGCCTCATGTATACTTTTTCTTGAAGATTCCCTCCGAAGCCTGACTTGGAATACAAAGGAAGGGTACAATATCACAGCATTTCTTGTTAACCTGGGGTTAATTACTTTTATAGTGATAATAAAAAAATACATTTATCATACGTTAAAGGTCCAGTGTGTAACATTTAGGAAGATCTACTGGCAGAAATGTCTGTCTTCATTACTGTATCATCACGTGAAAATAATAATTGTTGTAGAATGAGCTGTTTGTGAGAGAGGCAGCGGGTCCTCTTCCTTGGAGGCCACCATATTAAACAGTGATGTTTGTACAGTATCCCAGAACGGACCAACCAAACACTGTCTCTAGATAGGGCGTTTTGTGGCCATAGTTTTTTTTAAAGTTTCCTACGGGGTTGTAATCTGCAACTACACCACTAGATGCCACTAAATCCTACACACTGGTGCTTTAAAACCAATAAAATGATAAATATAGGGATCACTTTCTGACCTGAAAACAGTTGAGAACAGGATTTTATCCTATGTCTGATGCCTTTATCACAACCTCAGAAGAGAGGCGTACCTGTTGAGGTGGAGGAGCCTGCATGTAACCTTGTGGGGGAGGTGGGGCCTGCATTACGGGCTGGGATGGCGGAGGTGGTGGAGGTGGAGGATGGGGGTGTCCAGTAGCAGACTGGTAGCCAGACGGAGGCGGCATAGGCTGACCAGTGGTAGCCATGATGTAGCTGGTCTGAGGAGGGGGATGCTGGGACAGCACCGTGGGAGGAGGCTGATACATGGGGGGAGGCTCAGGGTTCTCGCTGGAGCCCTGCCGACTCAGCGTCATCTGGGTGAACTGGGGTGCCAGCTCTTCTCCCTGGGAGGAATGGGAATGACGTCATTGGTGGGTTAGAGCCACTACACTACATACAAGTACAAAATTATTAGTTTGAATAGTCAACCATAAACTAGCAGGCACTCTTGGCCATTTACTAGGAAAAAAACTAAAAAGAGAAATCTACACATTGACTTAAAATTGAATGCACTTTTTAATTCATACCATTCATTACAAAGTGCATTAGAATAAGTCATTGTATGCGTCAGCCACAGATATGTATAGCTGTAGGTCATGATCATATAAATTATATGGTTAAACATGTACTTCAATATGAAGTTCTTGGCATGATCAAAATAAAACACAACAAACACTACTTGACGTACATGCAGACACGCACATGGAATAGCAGATTATCTTGATCCAAGTTAAGTCTCAGGCAAGGGCAGATTTCTATACAACCTGTTTAGAAAGTGCTACCTGAATGGCATTTAACCATATCTGTGCCAAACTAATATAAATGAAAACAGGGGAAAATGCAAGAGTTTCTATCAGAATACAGCATTGGCTAAATGTGTGAGAGTGTCAGTAATGCAGTCTTCAGCTAAATTAATATTAAGAGATGAAGCTACAAGAGGTGTCAGTACCATTGTGTACTGCTGGGGAGGAGAAACTGGCAGGAGAACCTGGGGGCAGGAAGGGCTGGAGTAGGAGACAGGCTGAGAGGGCTGCAGAGACGCCACCGGCTGTACACACCACCAGAAAGAAGGAGGAAATAAATAGGCAGAGCAAAGAGAGTGTGTGGGGCAAGCCAGTGAGAGGGATGGTAGAAGAAGCAGACGGATAAGAAAGGAATAAAGAGAAATGAAGACACAGGAAAGATGTGGGTTAGAGCACAGAGGAAAAGTTGTTAATGAACAGATGGATAGAAATGGAAATCCCATTTAGTTTCTAAATATTATACAAAAGCAATAAAACTGATCAAAATGAAAGGCAATTAGCATTAATCAGAGAGAAAGAAGAGGAAATAGCTCTCATTACATATGCTGTCATTGACTGCAACTAACTTTTATTTGGTTCAAAGTGTGCCTTCATTTTTACTGATATGGTTTACATAAAGGAGGTACATACCTGAGCAATCATGTGGTTGCCCATAGGGTGTTGCTGTGGGGTGGGCAGCAGGGCAGTCTGAGGCGGAGCCTGAGGCTGCGGTTGTGGCTGTTGTGACGGGCAGGGAAGTAGGCTACGGCTAGACTGGGAGGCTGCAGGTGGGGGACACACATCAGGACTGACAAGGGGCAGGCCTAGTGATACACAAGAAGACATGATAGATAGATATACTCCAAGTTAACGTTCCAGCGGGTGAAATCTCTCTCTAGTTTAATGATGCTTAATTATAGTAACAAGTCATTCCTGTTTGTTTTAACCTGCAGGCATTGTTAAATTAGCTCACCAACAGTTTGCAAACAAAATACCATATTAACCTGAATATATGATGATTTCTTTCTGGATACTACATTTGATAAAGTGGAGTTCATGTTATATTCAAGGACTACACATATTGACATCAGATTTTTGAATGGCAAGAGCAACGGCTTGTACAGTGTTGCATTATAAGTTGTTTGTACCTTTAATGTTGGGATGCTAGTAACTTTCTTGAAGTCTGTTTGTAAAGCGTCTGTCTGTGAGTTTCTTATAATTTATTTACAGTTTTGAATTTTACAATGAGAAAATATACTATATAGGACATACAAAACTATACAAAGAAAATACAACACCAAGTGGAACACAGAACAAAACAAAAAGGTTAAACAGACAGTAAACAAGATTATCTAAATAATCTTTCCAAAAATGCTGTATCAAGAGTAACATCTCAGGAGCAGGGTATGGTAACATGAATAGTCCCTTATGGATGTGGGGTAGTGTAACACTGGGACAAGAAAGCCCAAAGGGTCCCCAAATCCATATCTATTCTGTGTATTGGGTTTGTGCAGACACAGTCTTTCCTCTTGTATAATAGACAACACCTCTTTGAGCCAATGTGCAAAGCAGGCTGGTGTGGTGTGGTAGACTTCCAGGTCAGAAGAATAAGTTTCTTAGCAACCAACATTCCTAGGTGCAGAGCAATCTGCATGTCGTACAGCAGCTCAAAATTCTCTGCAGAGCATCCAAAGATGGCCAGGTTGTTGTTGGGCTGAATGTCTCTGGAATCGGCTTTTGAGAGCCATTCAAAAATTGCAGTCCAAAATTTGTATAATGTAGGGAAAAACTGAAAAGATGAGCTAGTGATTCTTCAGTCGAGCAACAAGTGTTGTTTCAGTAGACACTGAGTGGAAGATGTAATTGAGTTTTGTTTTTGCGTTATGTAGTCTATATGCATCACCTTGTTAGAACTCTGCTGAGATCTCTGAATTCATGTCACTGGCCCAGGCTTCACTAATAAGATGTGAAGAAACTGAAGTAGTAAAGCATTACACATATTTTGATACTAGCTGATGGGAATCTGGAGGGAGCAAGAGATTTTCAAGGAAAGGGTGGGTGGTGGGGGTGGACTCAGTGTGGGCACTTTTCTTAACGTAGTGTGACTTGAAGATAGCAAAAGAAATTGTTATAAATTATGGCCATTAATGTCTCATGTCAGCCAATTTTTTATTGATTTAATATTTTTAAAAGAATTCTTTCAGGTGAAGTTTTGTTGAATTGAGTTGTCACTAAGGCAGAACTGGAAAACAAAAGCAGACAAAGCAACAGCAGAGGCTTTTAGCTGTAGCCATGAAGAGTTCCTTTAAGTCTCTGCACCTCCACATGTCCAGTAGTAAGAGCACGGCTCTTACTAGCTGTTAGCTGCCCGGTTGTAGTGTTTCAAAATCGGTAGACCAAGAGCCCAAGATTCGTCTTCTAAGGGGGTTTGTGTAGGTGAGCCTTGGACATCCTATGTGATTTGTAACCCCATATAAAAAGAACCAGGCTCCTTTAAAAAGGGTGCATTTAAGGGTATGGGCAGATTTTGAGAAATACCTCTGGAAACCCCCTCCCACACACATCTTTCTCAAGTCTGATTTCTGTCACAACTCAGTGCAAAACTCACAAAAACAATTACTTTCAGGAGAGACGGAAAATGTGCGCTGCATCCCTATATTTAAACAATAGTGGGTCTCCAGCCTATCCCTAACGGTTGGATTGTTATTCCTCCTTTAAGTGTGGCCAGAACAGGTATAAACACATTTGATATTAGATGTGGTTGAATAACATATCATACAAACTATTTCTGTCCGAGAACATGCTGTAACGACCCTTTGTCAGGCCTGTGATGTTTTAGTTCACCCGGTCTAACCTGCAGGAGTTTCCGACGGCGAGTGAAAATGTGGCAGTGTCTCCTGATGTCTTATCTGTGAACCATCTGTCAAGCAAAAGTAACTGGTGTCATAGAATTTTGTAATGAGGACTTCAAAAAGAAAATGGAAAACAGCTAGAAAATTGATTATGACTGCTTCCAAGAGCCTGAAAAGAATGTGTGAATATGTAACTTACAGACAAGCTAAAGACATTTTCTAATGTTATGATTAGCCAAATGTTTCATTGGAAATAAATCATATTACACTTTTTGGTGGATGAGGAATACTTGCTCTCTGGACCAGCAGTATCTTTCCCAACAGGACTAGTCTCGTGTTTTGTATCTCCATTAAATTCATTTTCCAAAACTACCTATGGGATCATCTTATATTCAGGCAATATGGTAGTATACAATTTATTTTTCTATTAATTAACAACAATGAGCATAAGTCATTATATCTACATTACGACATTACACTGTATGTAAAACGTAGCTTACATGACTCGGGGCTAGGCACTTTTTTATGCTGTGCTTGCTTCACTTAAAATAGCAATAATTACAGTAAATAGTAAAAGCTAATGTTACAAGTTAGCTAATGCTAGCCTTGATGACATACATTAGAAAGACCTAAATGTCTCTTCTTTTTTCCTCAACTTCCTCCACAGTCCTTACCAGAGCGAGAGCCTTTGCAGCTTCCCTGTGAGCCTTTGTTGCTGCCAAGGCTATCCCCTCTGGTAAGGATGGAAATGCCAGAGAAGCTGCTAGCCTTAGTGACGGGTGGCCGGAGGGTGCGGTTGGAGCTGTCTGAGTCGGTGCTGCTCCAGGGTCGTGGCTCCAGGCACTTCATGTCACTATCTGTGCTGCTTTGACGACTGCTAGACGCCCGGCTGGAGCTCTCACGGTTCCCTCTGAGAGAAGACAGAACAGGGAGGAAGAAAAGAAAGACAAAGAGATGAAATGAAGGGGATAAAATGGGGATAGGCGCAGAGGTGACAAGAGAGTTGAAGTAAGGAGAGGCAGGAAGTAGCAAGTGGGAGATGTGTACAGAAAGCAGGGTTAAAGATTAAGAAGTCAGAGGAAGAGTGAGACAAAAATGTACATGGGTAGGGGGAGAAATATATGAAGGGAAGATAGGAGAATTTGAGGCAGAGAGCAATGTAGGTGGAATCAGAAACAGAAGGATGGTCAAAGACAAAACAGGATAGAGGGGGAGAGCAGAAGCAGAAGAGCACAGTAAGGTCATCAAGAGGTACTGTGGACACAGTGTGACAGGCTTTAGGACAGGGCAACCAACATAGATGCATATTGGCTGGTTTAGTGAAACCACAATACAAAAATCAGGCAACAGACCACCAAACAATATTATTTCCAATTTTAAAAACACAACCACACACACATTCACACACACACACATACAAATCCATCTACATAAGAAAACATACATGCGGGGAGAAAAGATGCTCCAGACAATCAACACTGGGGTGTAAGAGGATATTACAGTGACACGAGATGAGACAAACGTCCATGAATTCAATGCACAACCCATCTAAAACTGGAGACGACATTCACATAAAAGGACTTTTAAAAATAAGTACTTGCAGATATACCTGTTATACATTTTAATACAGATAAAAAGGTAACACATGCGCTTAAAATACATTGTATTAAAGACAAGAAATGACATGAAAACAAGACACACATACACCTGTAAATTAATATCAGATGTACATCAACACTCAGACAGTAAGAGCAGATGTACATCAACACTCAGACTCACACACACTTATCTACAAAATAACCACTTGCTACCACTGGTTCAACACTATGGTTCTTTAAACTATATTGCTGAATACACACTTATTGAGTTGTTGTGATGCTGTCACCCTGGATAAGGGTAGCTGCCAAGAAAACCAATGATCACACTGTAAGCGTAACCACCACTCTGGGGAAACTCCTCCATCACCAAGTGAATGGTTGGGTCTGCCATTGACATGTCAGCATTAAGAATATTATTGCTCCATTTGAAGGCGTCCTACTGTGCTTGTACTTGAAAATACCACATTTTAATAAAAATTTAATTCAGAAAAACCAACATATGCTATACATACTGTGGTTTGGCATTAAGTTGAATGTAGATAGAAAGCCTTGCAGGTAAACAGAGACCTATGGCTCTGCATTGAGAATAGAGTTAAAAAAAACAAAACAAAAACCAGCCAAGTCAGCTGTAAACACTTTTTTTATCCTCTTAGAATTGGTAGAGGGACATGAACTGAGTACGTCCGTGTAGAGAGGACAAGAGTAAAATTAATTCAAAACATGTAAGGCTGATTGTGGGAATCTCCATGACGAGAACAGGGATGTGGTATGGGTTGTGAAACCATAGTGATAGTGAGTGGTGTTTGAAGGTGGCTGTGGCTGATAAATATTTCAGAGAGACTGTAATTAATGGAGGATCTATTTTGAGTCTTCTCCCTGCACAGCCTATTTTAAGGAAGGGTGGGTGCTCTGCCATTCTCTGTAAAGAGAGTTGCTTGGCTCTGCAGACAAAGATGAGAGCAGGATGAACGGGAGGAGGGATTCTGCTGTTGATCACATGATATTTCATCTCCACTCTCTCTTCATGAAAGCATTCCACATCGCACGCACAAACGGGAAGCGGCTGTTATGCATTTCTATTACCCTCAGGGGGCCCTCTTGGGCTTTTAAGCACATTTTGGGCGAAAAGTAAAAAGATCATAATATTCTAAACTTCAAATATTAAACATTAATGCAATATGAGATTACATGCCAACCTCTAATGAAATTTCAGCAAGCAGCACAAATTAAAGGGATGACAAAGAAATCAACAAATAACTGGATGGTTCAAAGGTTGACCACAAAAATGTGATTTATATAAAAAAGAAAAAGGGGAAAAACAGAGGACTTTATCTGAAAGCTAATCTTAGAGTCTCTCAATAACACAATGCTTACAAATATCAGAATGACAATTACACACAATTACATAATGAAAGGGATAAATCTGTATATATTGTTGCACTATAAAGCTAAAAAAAATTAGTCAATCAACTGACAGAAAATATTTGCCAATCTTTTATTATTATTTTTCGGTGCACTGTATAACTTCATTAGTTAGCAATAGTAGGAAGATTACGGTAAATGAGGAAGAGCGAGACTCAAAAAAGGTCCCTGATAGGATTCTAACTGGGGACGCTTGCAGTTCATAGTTGGTGTCTCAACAACGCTTAATCAATTAAATCAATTAATTGTGATGAACACCAAAAGGTTAATTGAAAACAGTCCTCTTGCACTCTAAATATAACAAGATAACAGTTTTTTTTTCATTATAGTCTCATGTTTCCTTTTTTCTTTTTGTCAGCTCAACAGCACCATTGCATTATGTACTTCTTACATATTTGTATGTGCTACTATGCAACAGGTGACATGCTAACAAAAACTACAAGACTAAGTCAACCACAAAACAAACAGGTTACTGTGGAAGTGATGCAGTTACTTTATGTATCAAAAATGTAGTTGACGGTGAAAGGGTGGAAGGGTAAGTAGGTCAAATCAGTCCCCAGTGAAACCACAAAGCAGCCATGCATGGGCCATGGGAAGCCCCACGGTGCAGTGCTGGAATAGCCATCAATCAGCCGACTACGCCAAGCAAAGATATAAAAAACCACCACAAGTCACCACTATCATCACCAAACCACTTTCAAAAAATGGGCATGGCAACACACAAGTCATCAGCACCCCAATACCTAAAGATCTGCCTCCTCTTTTGAGAGCTAGAGCAGTAGCCCTCAGTGGAAAGTCTGTTGGGGTTAACATTAGGAGAAAATGCTAGGGTTACAGGACTGGATTGGAGAACAGGAAGGGTTTCAGGGGAGGGTGGGATAAGGAGGGGTGGGAGGTAGAGGTAGGCACAGTGTAGAACTTTTACCCCTGAGAAGAAGAAGAAAAGAAAACGCACACAAGGCAGAAACTTTGACTGTTGTAAAGCCCATGCTTCCTTTTTCTCTCAGCATATGTCCTAATCTTTCAACCTTAGGGTGCCTTGGGATGGAAGCTGACCGTAACTGCTGTGTGACCTAACCTATTTCTAAAAAAACATTTGTTCCACTACCTACAAATGTTTCTCAAAGACAGTGTGTCCCTCACAGTCTAGCATAAAACGACCCTTGATCATCTGGCCTATTGAGAAACATCAGCATGTTGATTATTTTCCTAGCAATGACAAGAATAATACAAGGGAAATAAACATATGTAAATTCTCTTTTACAACTACAAGTTTTTTTAAGTCAAGTTTTCAGACTTTTGTAGGGGCTAGATAATTGTAAGTGGTCAGATTTGTACAGAGAATCAATATATAATCTATTTATGGGCCCCCTACATTTCATACCTGAAACCTATCAAACAAACTTGTAGCTTTAAGGGAAAAGGTGGCAAGGATGAAGTCTTATAAATTGCACACACTAGAGTCTACAGTAGAATTCATCATCTTACCTGTTATCGTTGATGTATCCATTTTGAGAGGACTGTAAAAAAAAGGACACCTGCACATTATGAAATGCTTCATTCATCTAGGAGCACTTTAGACCAAAATTTTTTTCATATAAATCATTCATAAGTTTTTGTAATCTTTGCTTTTTTCTTGCCAAAGACCTCTTCAGGTCTCTAAAAACCAATAAAATTCAATAGTCTGAGAAGGTAAAAATCACTCTTCAAGTGAGCTTTACAAAACTCCGATACATGCACCCTGTGATTAGGGGGTCGCAAATAGAGATTAGTCACAAGAAAAACACACCGGAAACCACTGGCTTTAAGTATACATATAACCATGAATCACTAGATAACTTATTAAACAGATCTTACTCTTGTCTAATTAAGAAGTACTGACTTCCCACTAGTCAAAGGAGCTGGAGGTAACAGCTAAGGATTGAGAAATGATTGTGATTTAATGTGTCCTCAGCAATTGTTACCCTGTCCAGGTCCAATACTTACTTCTCGGGCAAAGATCCGGTCTCGTACCCGCTGATACTCTTCCTCCCGTTCTTCAATGGACTTGCTACGTCGCCCGTCCTGCAGTGGCACACGGATCTAACATTTTGGATAAACAATCATATTGGGGGTGAAGAAAAAGATATAAATGCTGAAATATTATGTAAATACATGTATAGCCACACTTGCTGTAAAAATAAGTAGCAACAAGTCACATGATAACAGTAGCACGTAAAGGGAGACCAGCTGCCCGTCATCAAAACAAAACAACAGAATAGAAACTGTGTAAAATTAGCGTTTTGAGGGGTGAAATCAGCGTGGGAAGGTTTAACACCACAAAACGTGATAGGACACTTGAAGAATGATCAAACAAAGGAATATGACAAATATGTCCAAGAATTGAGCGCCAAAGAAAAGTGTCAAACAAACATTGTTGGAAGGAATGAAGAAGTGTGAGAAACGTGCTTCAGACAGCAACAAAGCAAGTACAGTTGATTCAATTTTTTTTAATTATTATTCTGTATTATAATGGTTAAACTGTTGCTGTGGTTAAAAATGTGGGCTTTCAGTGTTTAATTAAAAACCTCAGACACTAAAAAGTTACACATCTGTAAAAGCAAGGTATTAAGAAAAATACAAGAAAATGTTGTTTTATAGCTGACACGTAGAGTTTAAGAGTGTATCTTAAGTCTGACAGCACAGTGGATAGAGTCAAGTTTTGCTTTGTAAAAAGTACTGGTCCAGGCTAAAGAGTTTTGTGGCTCACACACAGGGAAATCAGCAGCTATAGAAGAGATGTTAAATACATTGCAAATTGAAAAATGTAAAATGTATCATTTTGAGAGACAATACCAGGAACATGCAAGTTACTGAATATAAATGGCCTATTTATATTTTAGTACACTCTTAGTGGTGGAGTATCATCTCCAAATCTAACTTTAATTTATGATAAAAAATATAACAAAGGCAAAACCATTGTGCATACAGGAGACATTTAAATGTCAGCATTAGTGGCACCCCAAGTCTTACAGATTGTTTAATCTCCTTTCACACTCCAGTTTATTATCTCTGTTGGAATTAACTGTTTCAAACCCACCAGCAACCTGTAATCACTGTCCAAACCCTGTATGCTCTTACTCATAGCTATTATTGATGAATTCAGAATCAGTTAAGTTTTGTAGCTTTGTTTGAAATAATTAAAGAGTTACTTTTATTTATTAACACATGGCTGGGTCAAGATGATGCTGCAGTACTTGTTATAGCCACTCCACCCACTACTACTCCTACTTCCAGATGCTAAGATAGTCTGGAGGCTCACCACTGGAAATCTGTGAGTGTTTGATTAACAGCGTATTTGCCAACAAAAATAAACCATGCCTCCCTTTTATCTGATAGGAGCACTTATCTAGAAAATGCAGACTTAAATGGTTAATTTTAAGGTCATTATGAGATTGCATGAGACAAGCCTAGGGCAGAGTTTTTTATTGCTCAATGCCCAACACAACTAATGGTTGTAACTACGAAAATATCCCAGCATGACATAAAGTGGCACATTTAAAGACTCTTTAATTTTTAAACTTATTTAGAGTTTACATTTATAGTGAATGTGATCTAGTTAACGAATATCACGGCATACAAATCAGCCTACCTGATTATCATCCTTGTCCATGCTGGCATCGTCTCTCTTAAGGATGAATTTCTTCTGGAAGTCCATGTTACGTTCGTCCTTTATGTGTTCAGAGAACCGTTGTTCTGGGCTGTAGAAAAAGTAGAGGACAAAAGGCATGCTTTATAACTAAGGCGACACGATAAGATCACTTTGCCATTATTTTGACAGATGCTGCAATTGCGATATGATTCAAGATTATTGAGGGAATCCCAATGTTTGGGGTCTGTACCAAACAAACATGATTTCTTAGATCTAGAGAACAGGGTTTATAGACAAGGACATCTCTTCAGCACTACATTACTTAATTATGCTTTTTTTACACACATTTTACCTCTAATAAAACATTGTAGCTCTTGCGATTTGCATATTGATTCTGCGATTTGCATAATGCAATTTTGATAATGTTTTGATTAATCGTGCAGCCCTATAAACCAAAAAAAATTACCTTTGACTGCATTAGAGGAAAAAATTAAGCAAAGTAAAAAGACAAACAGTTTAAAAGCAGTTACACATGGATGTTTGTTTTTCTAAATTAAATCAAATAAGAAACATCAACTTGCACATTTAGTTGCACACATCTGGCAGCTGTTAACACTATCAACACCTGAACAATCTATCTTCTCAAACTTCACAATGGACTGTACATGATTTTAGATTTTGCCCAGAGAAAATACGAGGAATAAAATAAGGATGCATACATTTATAGTATGTTTTTTCTTTTACAGATTTGGCAAAACTGCTTTTTACTAGATTGTTTGTATGCAACAGTTGTTACAGGAAACTTAAAATCATGTATTTGTAACTGAACAGCTGCCTATGTTGCCGCCCTAGATTTATCGTCAATTATTGTTTAATGATTTCCTCAAGTTTTTAAAATCCTAAACTTAACATATTTATTTGGTGGCTCAAACAATGGTTCTGAATTGTTGCTAAATCATTTCGCAACGGAAATGCAATCCAAGTTTCATGTGTCTTTAACACTGCAGCTGCTGAAGTCTGGACCAAAGAACTACACTCACATGCGTGTGTTGCCCGTCTTGTTGATGATGACTGCCTTGCCTGTCTGATCCACATTGTGGTCCATGCCAAAGTAGGCAGCCACACGGTGCAGCAGCATACGGTGATAAGAAGTCATCTGAGGAAACTTCTTATACTGGTTACTGCAGGGGGACAAAATAGAAAGCTTTAAGTAACATGTTATTTTAACACTTAACTGCATAGTAAGTTATTCTTTTTGAATTTAAATAGAGTACACAACTCTCTCATGTTTGTTCTATGTACAAATGCAAAACACTTAATTCAGTAGCTTTCTTCAGAACAGTGGTAAATACTCAAGATTATGTCATTTTTGTAACTCCTGTAATACATTTTGTTGTTATGTTTGACTAGCAGGATGTCCCTCGTTGAGGACACTTCATTTGGATCCATTTTGTATAGATGATTTACTTCTTTCAGGCTTATTTCAAATCATATTACTTAAGATTAGACTTAAGTAATATCATTATTCTGGTACAGGGGAACACAGAGTCTTAGCCAGAAATACTGCCAGTCTAAACTTGCCCCTTAATATCAACTATAACTTCGCCGTATTTGTCTCATTACCTCAGCAATCTATAAATAAAAAGGAATGGATGTAGAAGGGCTAAATTTAAATACAAGAGAGTGGTTATGAAGAACGTAGCTTACTTGTCGTCATTAATGAACTCCAGGATATCTTGTTCTAGTTTGAGCAGCATCATTCGATCCCTGCTGGGCCAAAGGGGGGAGAGAGAGAGAGGGGGAGAGATCAGAGGGAGGAGCGGGTCAGTGACTAGAGTGCAGTGAGCATACCAACTAGGGATCAAAGGCATAATGTAAGGGAATAAATACTTCTATTACAATGATTATCCTTCTGAAATATACGTTTTAAACTGTATTTTTATTAGTTCTTCTTTAAACGACTGGATGCCATCATCAGTTCATCTTCAAGGACTTGAACTTACAGGGAGCCTCCTGCTAACAGGATAGTCCTACATTTGTTTTTGTGTTTCCCTTTCACACAGCGCATTACGTGGTGCTTCAAGAATTGGCAGGTGCATGTTTTTCATATTGCACATTGTCATCAAGGCAACCAGCAGACCATTTCCCTTTATGACACCTGAGAGATGAAGCTGCAAGTGCATTTTGTGCCTGCTCATCTATATTAATATGTTGAAAGTATTTACCTAATGAGCTCTTTAAAACAAGAACAGATGTAAGATACTGAATAAAAGATGATCAAAACCTGACATTTAAATACGCAACTCTTTCATTAAATATATATCTCGGTAATCAGTTGGACCAAACTTTATTTTGTTTTTGCCATATATAAACAAATATGTTAATGACCAGCTCTATTCCATCATTTTCATGTTTTTGCTCCGGTTCTTATAGCTGAGCATGAGTCATCCTTTGGTGGCAATCTCATACCTGGGATTGTTTTTCAGTGTGTTGACCAGAAACTCATGAACATCGATGCCCGTGGAGTCAGTGTATTCCTGACTGGAGTCTAACAGAGAGAAAAAAAAGTAAATAGGTGGAGAAGAGAGGAAGAGAAAGTTGAGAGACTGGGTGGGAAAGAGAGTGACACTTCCATAAAGTGCAGGGGAGCTAGAAAGAGTTGAGTGAGACTGCTGTTAAGCATAGCTCCTAAAATGGCACCCCAAAACACCAGCAATGACATTTCAGGTTGTTCAGGGAGGATAAACACAAGAAGCAGATAGCATGAGACACCAGCTTGCTGTTCTTCTATGCTTTCACACACACACACTCTACAGGGGATCATTTTCCACAATTTTCCACTACACTAGACAGTTGGGCTAGCCATTTCATCTCTGCTGCTCTCAGAGTCTAATGACGCCTGAGGGCCTCTGCAGAGAGAGGGAGTGAGGTGGGTAATTAAAAAAAGAAGAGGGAGGGATCCCATTATCTTCTGGAGAGATTAGGTTGACATCATATTAGTTTGGGTATTATTCAGTGGACATAATATTTACATGCAACAGTCATGCCATGACAAAACATTTGCCCTTGCGTTCATTGTATCTGTGTAGAGAGAATACAAATAAAACTAAGCTTTTAGTCTTGTGTATGAACAAGAATGGCACCAAAATTGATTTTAACACAGGTTTGATTAGGATCAGAACAACGGCTACTAAATGCATTTAAGCTCTAAAGTTGTATCTTACCACGTGACAACATCTTTCGCGGAGTCTTGTCCTTCTTTTCCTTTTCTTCATTTTCATACTCGTCCTTTGAGGACTTCTCCTCCTCCTTGTCAGATGGGCAGCTGATGTGAAGCTGGATGATATCCTGGAAAACGACATTCCATTGCTATGAGAAAAGACGGTAAAATTTTGAAATCTAAATTTTTAGTTTAGTGCATTAAGTATTGTTAATCCTTCTCAAACTGAAGTTGCATACAAAGAATTGCAAGCTATGCTAACGTCACGGTATGGACTAGGATTAGGATTGAGGGGTTAGGGATTAGAGACAGGAACAGTACCGATTCTGGAGGTCCATCATTGGAGAACGGACCAGAGGACTCCTCACACACTGCCAGACTCCGTACCAGCTTCAGTTTGGCATTAGACTGAAACAGAATCACACATATATTACCTGTAAGGAATTTAGGAATTTTCACTTAAAAATGACACCGTTTTAAATGTGGCATCCCATTTCCAATTTTATGTATCACATACACCTAAAATTCATGCTATAAAATAGCATTGATTTTATGTATCACATACACCTAAAATTCATGCTATAAAATAGCATTGATCATTATAGTTTATAGTAAACAAGGTCCTCTACCAACAGTCACAGCTTAAAAACAACTGCTATAAATATGAAGTTAGGAACAAAAGAAAATAAATTGTGGAGAAAATGCTGATAAAGCACCACGGTACTTTGAAGTAAAAATCAGTATTAAACTGTGAACCAAACTGAACTACAGAATGCTGGCAATGCAAGGAGCATTATTACACGCTGTTTTTTCTTGTTTGTTTTAATTTTTTAAAATTTTTACAAAAAATCAAAATGTGATTGATTTCAGGATTTTTAACAACTATGTTGTTATGGAAAATAGTGAACCCCTCTGTCAATGCAAAGTGTTACAATATTAAAAGTCCCACGATGTGTAGCTATGTGTGTAACAAGTTTCTTTCTTTTGATGTTTTGATAAGGAGAAAATCCTCTTAACATAATTTCAGCTGTTTTTTTTTGGTTTTTTTTTAATAATGACTGATAATAGAGTTCCCTGAGGAATGGAGGAGGAGCTGAAGTGAGACATGCAGAAAACACAGTGCTTTAATACAATATAGCTGATTAGGATGATGTCCCTTTGAAGATTATGTACTAAAACCAAGAAGGAAGTGAAACAAGGGTCATCTATCTTTGAGAATATTTTCACTGTGATACCATCAATTTGATCTAATCCCTTTTTACAAGAAGCATTATGAGAAGGTTAAGTATGGGATGTCACATTAGAAAGCCACTCCCACAACACAAAACGATAGGGTTGAACTCTCATGTCTAAGTATAACTAACCACTGCCTTGACATCTTTAAAAAGACGCACACAGGCCTAAAAACAGTACACGTCAGTACATATCATATTAATTTAACTGTTGGTGTTTGCGTCATTTAAGGTCAAGTAACAATTACTGTAGACAATGAGTTGAGGCTAATTATGCAATAATACAGAGTTCATAACGGTAGTTCTGTAAACTTAAGTTTTCAAAAAAAAAAAAAATATGAATTCCTCCTATGCACATTTTGTAAAAACAGTGTTTGGTTTGTGTTTCTTTTAAATCATACTGTTTGATGAAAATAGGAGTTTCACAAAAATCACTTAGTCGGCTACTAAATGGAATTTCCAAAACAAACATGGTGAATGCTGCTGTTTAGCTACATTATACAATGTGAAGTGCTATTTAGAGGTGGTATGAATGCATACAGTGTCAACTTTGATGCATATCCTATGCGGCACAAACCGGGTTGAAGTGTTGTATCACAGGGAATGTACACAGACTGGATGTACTGAGGAAAATAAGTGAGACAACTGGAGTTCAGTGTATTTTTGTCACAGCTGAGTCGGTCAGAGAGTTCTCCAAGTGTGTGGCAGAAAGAAAGACTGCAACACCAGTCAAGAGGTCTAAGTAAGACTTCAGACTGTATCTAAACACAACTTGTTTATTTAGCAATCCAACATTTATCGAATTTAACTGGTTATAGTCTTCATCAGCTGTCTGAAATATATTTTACTGTTTCATAGTCTTACTGAGGTCACTTAAGAGGGGGTTAAAAGTAGGTGGGTTAAACATATTTTTAGCCAATGATGAGAATAAGGTGCTCCACTGTAGTTGAGAGGATAATAACGTTAATATTGGACAGGATTATGAAGTTATTGGGGTGAGTTTTAGAAAGATGAATATCTGGTTTTATAGTAGATGGAAAAGAATCAGTGTGTCTGGTGAAATACCAATGACCATAAATTACTTACCTTGGCCCTTTTCCTGCCATGGCTGTGATTAGGAGCCCGTTTCTGCAAGAAAAGGGTGTTATTTTACTTATTTTAATAATACGGTGCACATTAAATACACATAAGAATTCACTACACTACACTTAGTCTTGCAGATTAGACAGTGATTTGGAAAAATATTGCAACCAGCAGACACTGTAGTTCAGTTGCAGAAATTAAGAGTTTTCCAAGCTCATGTTGTACCACCAAACATTAAACCATTTTATATGGTTAATAACATTAACCAAGGGTTTGTATAAATGCTATGATTATGTCTTATGCTACTGTAGCACAGATATGCAGATTTACTAAATCTATCTGCCAGGAAAAATCAGTTTCACTCATGTATAGCACAGAACACGCAACAAATAGATTTCTGCTGGAGAAACTTGATTTCTTGACCATGTATGTGCCTCTGTAACAGACGCTTGTGCTTTTGACAGATTTCAGACGTAATCATCACTGTGATGGCACTGTCTCTAGCTGTGTGTCTTTGTATCTAACTAAATTCAAAATGGATTTTAAAAAGTTGGCTAAAGTTGAAACTAAAATTTGTCAAATAAGTCAGTTTCTACTATACTAAAAAGATGTAGAGTGTAGAGTATATATAGAGTGAAGAAGAGACACTATTATGGACCAGCTATATACAAATGCTTGTTTTGCTGGAGCCAGGTCTCTAATGTCCTGCTTTGGATTGGTTTTATTTCTAAAAAGTCCTACTAGCACTCTTATATTGCCACTTCCTCTCACCTGTGCATCCTGTGAGGCGCTATCCTCAGGCTCCAGGCCCTCTCCTGTCCCGTCCTTGGTGCCCAGTGGTTGAGGGGAGGTCTTGCCCCGACTGCAGGGCTCGATGAGTGGCCCACTCTCTCCCTCCTGCTGGATGTCTGTTGTCAGGCTCACTGACATCTTCTTAGGGGAGGGGGAGAGGGTGGGAGTTGGGGAGGGGGTTGGGTGGAGAACCCAGGAGTGGCTAAGAGAAAAGAGGCAAGATAAAAGAAGAGGGAAATTCAGGCCTCTTTGGTTTTAAACACCAAAAAACAGAAACATTTTGACAATGCATGACCAAAGAGAAAGCAGAAGGAAAGGGACAAAGACACAGAGCATATGTGTGAGAGTGTACTAATACAATATTTACCTGTAGGTGGTACCAGATCTGTGCTGGACTCTGTACTGTGAGTCTGGATGGGAACCACACACAGGAAGATATGGGGAACCCACTAAGGTAGTGTACTGGGTCGGGCTGCAGCAGGGGGCGAAGCGCAGTCCATAGCAAGCCTTAGCCTTTGGGGTGGGGCTGTGAGGAAACAATTTGGAAATTGTAAATTTGTACGAAACATTACAAATGTATTAAGTTAAATGACTGGTCTTTTAACTATTGAAAGATCTTTTTATTTTTTAATGTCAGGTCAAATCATCAAGCCAAATCTATACAAATGTGAAATTTATACTGCTTACACTGCCCCTAGTGACAATTCAACTCTGACATATGAAACACACTGGAAGTTTCATCCATCCATTTGATAAATAAACAGCAGGATTGTAGCTGAATTACAACCTTAATGTGGAAAAAAGGTTGCTTTATTTCTTCTACTTTGTTCTGAAATGGACACAGGCTATTTAAAGTAAGGCAGAGCTTTGTTCATTCCATTTATGAGATTCAGCTGAGAATTAAACTTCTGATGAGCAATTTTGTACTTTTTGAAAAAAACAAAGTATTTAGATGTTTAATTTTCCCAGTATGGTTACAGACTTGCTCTAAAAGATGCATATTTAGAACAACGATATTACAACAATATCAACATGCACATCAACAAAAAAAACAGGAATATTTACAGCAATCAGGTGAACTGAAGAGGTAGCAGCTACCCTGCCAGACAGGGGGAGGGGCACACTACCTCAGCGGTCACTGGGGCCTCTCTCGTTTCTCTCCCTCCGGCTCAGTGCAGCAGCATGGTCTGTCCTCCAGTCAGGAGCCCTGAACACCAAGAGCAGAAGAGGAAGACACGGATGACGTCATGTTTCACACACTGAGTGACTCATCGCTGCTGCTGCTGCTGCTGCTGCTGATTGTAGCAGGGAGGAGGACAAAGCAGCTGAAAGCTCAGAGGAAACTGGCACACAGAGCTTATAAAAGAGAAGCTTGAGTCCAGTTTAATCTTCTCAAATGTGCTAAACTGTTCATTAATTGACTTTGTCACTGCTTGAATGGCTGGTTTCTTAAGTGTGGGCATCCCTCTTTATGAATGGGAAAATGTGCTTTTGCTGAGAAAGAACAAGTAAAAAATGTGTTGGGTTTTCTTTTTTTTGCCAGAAATCAAACTAGCAGCAATATGTCAGAGATAAAGTGCTCATTTGGCAAAGCTGCCTTTTCAGCTGGAGGTTTAGTAAAGCCAACTACAGTTGCATTTCTTTAGTCAAGTACAACTAATAGTTAAGAACTGTGCTGTGGTATATCTTCCAGATTTGAGGTATTTGCCAGCCTTATCTGCTTGCACAAAGAATCACTGAAATACGCTAATTAAGTGTAACTGTCATACTGGCAGTTCAACATAAAATTAAGAATGCAATGCAGGACAAGAACAGGATGGTAGTCATCATTTACCTGACCAGCTTTAGTTGAATGTACAACATAAGTCTACATTTTAAATTTAAATCCTCTAGGCGTCTTCCTGCTGCAAGCTCCTTTTAATTCAACTTCCACAAAGCAGAAAACATGTTACATGGCTACAATAACCTCGTTAAAAATAAAATTGTTGGTACAAAAATACTAGGGATACTCAAATCTCTATTCTCATTATTCTCTCTTGCCCACTTCACTTCCTAGTTTACATAATGAAACACATTTCCCCAGCATGGATAAACGTCACACAGAATAGCTCTGAGGTGAATTCTGGCTCCAAAAGTAACTGTGATGTCAGGCATTACACCCATACACATAGGGACAACAAAGACGAATAACAATCCATTTGTCCTACAAGCCTATATCCTCTGTTATCTCTGGTGTGCCTGTTGAAACAAAGATTTTAAAGAAGTATGCATTAAATCCCATATTATGCACACGTGGATGCATCGATGTAATAGTGAAATGAAGCGCAAGCAAGCACAAATTCAGGCATCAAAAGCACGATTGTCAGATTGTACGCAGGCAGTATGGATAGGTGCAATTCATGCGTGTCTGCTGTGCTGTGCTGTGCTGTGCGACAGATAAGATGAGTGCACAAACGAGGCAGGGAATCCCAGTGTGGGGAAAACCCAGGCAATGCAACAGCAAAGGCGTCATCAGCAGCAGCAGCATTAGACCACATCACTGACCAGGACACCCACATGCCCCAGCCCCACTCTGCTGATGCAAGCCTCCCATACAGCAGCACAGAACACAGCCACTGTTTACTGTCGGCAGATACAACTGCTTGACACAGTCTCTTGGAAATAATCTTCTCCTCCTGCTCGCTTACACACACACACACACTTCAATGAATAAACCAGCTTTACCCATTCTCTCCTCCGCCACACATTCCTCTCTTATGATCCCTTAGCTCTCTCCTCAACACCCCCCCACCACCCCCCCGCTTTCCTCAACACACACACACAAACCAACCCACAGGGTTGCCAAGGAGATGGCAACGTCATTCTCAACTGCTGCCATTTGTGTTGAGCGAGTACCAGTGAGAGGGGCAGAGAGAAGAGTGATATTAAAAATAAATATGTGGATTGCAGTGTGCACAGACTGAGATGGATCGTCAGACAGAGGCAGAGAGAACAACGCAGGATGAAAAGAAAAAGAGAGCAGGAAATGCTACTGCTGGTGTTCCAATTTATTTTTATAGGTAATCTTGACTGTTATGCCCTACCCCAACACAAATAACAATGTGGGCTCATGCAGGCCATGGGATATCAAACAGTGAAAAGCTCAATTCTGCTGAACTGATACTCTAAGATGAGTAGTGAAGCTTCTTCCAAAAAGGTGTGCAGTTGCCTTTTTACCTACCATTATTAGGCAAACAGCTATGGCACCTTAAAACACAAATATACATGCCCTTTAACACGTTACATTAAAATGACTACATGTTCACACTGAGCTATTCTGATGGGTTACTCGCAGTATGGTCTGTGAAAACAAATTCATATAAATGATTCCCCCAGGAAACTCTAAAGATAGGGATACGTAACACTCCTTACAATAAAAACCTGACATTGGTTAAAGTGGGCCTTTTATGCTCATTTCCAGCTCTTTATTCTTAGTCTGAGAATCCACTAGTAGCTTTCAGTCTTTAATAACATTCCTATTTATCTTATACTGGCCCTTCATGCAGCCACTCAGTTCATCCTCTGAAGCACCCCTCCCTAGAAGCCCACAGTCGTCTGATTGGCCGGCTCAGTGAAAGCCTGCTGAGAGGCTGCAGGAGCCCTTATCAACACACTGCTCTGTCCTTTTACCGGTGTGCTTTCAATGGCATGACAGCTTCAGTAACTTAGCTTGGACAATAGCAATATGGGGCTGAAAAGAAAATACTGTTGAGCAGACCACAAGTGAGACAGGAATTATGTTCGAAAAACGACACAGACAGACCAGAGTGTTTTTGGGGACAGGGCCTCGGTGATTACTGTGAAAGAACACAACTTTTTACAACCTTATTCATGGATTTCCGAAAAACTGGATCATCTTTTAAAGCAAAAGTATTTTCTGGGCTTCCCTCTGATGTACTTCAGTGATTTACAGAGTTTCTTTATGGTATTATAGCCTTATAGCTTCTTAGTGGTTAGCTACTTTTGCCGTCGTTGGAAACAGTTTGGGAAGGGGAACTTAAACCAATAAGATCAACAAGCCATATAATAGAGTCAAACTCTTACCGAAGAAACTCAAGAGAAGACTGAAAACATCAGTCACTCTCAAAACCGTCTTCACACACCTAGTGTTAAACTGTGCCCGTAGCTCATGCCATAGCTGCCAGTGTTCCTCAAAGGGCGCTGACTGGTCTGAACCACTGTGGTTCCGACTCAAGCACATAGCTTAAAGCCTGGCCACATGGATTCTCACGTGATCTCGTGATTTTGCGAGTTCAGCTGCCTCGCAAGGTTAAGAATCTACTAGCTCCTACTACTATCACTGCTACTGTGACTAGTGCTAATATGTCATAATACAGGCTACACACTGCAGGCTCCACATCTACAATACCAGCAACAGCAGCACTAATCTCTGATTGAACTGTCCCAGTTTAGAGTGTGTGTCGGCCTGATGTTGGCAGCTCTATGCCATGCAGCAGAGCAGCTGATTCACACAGGACTCTGGCCAGTTACATCATAGCAAAAGAGGTCATCCACATCACGCTGGCCTCATAAAACCACATCAACAGGCCGTTATACTGTATGATAGGGATGCTTTGATCAGGCATTTAAATATTGAAAACCCATTTAATATCTTCATGAATTTCCCAGGTTAAAACCAATGACGGATGTCTTCTTGTTCCTGACCATTTTTACAAAAAGCTGAAACCAGGGCAACCAGTCACTTTGTGGTACCTGTGCTATTTTTCAAGCTGGTATCAATTCATCAGTTATTATTTTTTGTAGTAGCAATGATTAATTGAGCATTCAGCCATTAGACACATCAGCATACATCCTTATTCACACTGAAAATTCTGTATAGGTCAACCTCGCCTGCAGGACACCCTGAATAATCTCAGAGCTGGTTCAACCATCAAATGATATTACCTCCGTTACAAACAATTCCACACTTTCTTTCAACTATGAGGCAACATCACAGCTGCAGGTGTCACTATCAATCTGTCCTTATGTTTTCCTTTATAAATGAAACAGGAAATGATCCATTTGCTTAGCTCTGGCTAAACCAGCACACTGTTTACTGAGGACATTTATCAGTTTGAAATTGACTTTTGTTAAATTTGTATAAACACAGTGACAATTTCACACTTCAAAAAAGATGGCTTCCTACAGAATAACAGGGCAAACTGTTTCACAAACTCAATGACATCTACACAGATAGATGGGCCATGCAGGCAGACAGACATACACCACCCACAAGAAACTGCCATAATTCCCATCCAGTCATAATGCAGTGCAGGGCACCCTGACCCACTTCACACACATTAGCGGCCGTGCAGCCTCTTACACAGGCCCTCCTGATGACAGGCAACCAGCTGAGACACACAGGTCATACACTGCCCTGCCCACTGTGTCAGGTTACCACACCAAAGAATGCCAATGGGAGGGAGCCCTGAGTGTGTGTGTGTGTGTGTGTGTGTGAGTCAAAGAGCTATCTGTCTGTTAGACACTGTGTGTTTGTGTTTGTGTTGAGACACACAGAATGTAGATCAGCACTTTAGCCAGTAAGCTAGGCAAACTAAAAGAATGAGCTCACCGTCAAATTTAGCTACTCCAGGTCAAGCTGGGTCAGGGTCTCAGCAATAGTTAGCAGTGAGGCAAGCCAAAGAACTGAGAGGAATGCTACTCCATGGTAGCTGGTAGGAGTGACGAGCTTGTCTATATCAATAGTAATAAGTCTTTTAACTCATTTAATTTATCAGATAACGAATAGATTAACTGACATGACATCGTGCACATGCAGCCAAAAGTCACAGTTTAACACCAGCTGTTAGCAGAGAGTACCAATTTATGAGTTTGACAAGATGTAATTTTAAAAAATTGCACATTTGGCTAAAAAGGGAACCCACACTGCTGAGCTGAAACAAAGTTAATTAATTAGTGGACCCAAAGAAAGGTAAATGACAACAATCTTTAATTGTTGAATAATAACTAATTCACAGTTAATAAAAATGCCAGCTAATGTTCCAGATGCATCCGAGGATTCAGGGAACTTATAACAGGCTTCTATTTTCATTTTGTAACATTTTGAAGATAAATCATCATTAAGTCAAATTGTAATTGTAGATGAAGTATTATTAAAAAAACAACTGATTTAAACAGGACAGAATGGATTTTGCCAGTAGCACATTG